CCACACAAAGGATATTTGTAGAGCATCCATATCAAGAGATCAAGGAGTCTGTACAACTGGGTCACCCAGGACTTCATATTCATAAGCCCACTCCACAAGACAGAGATCAAAGCAGACCAATCTAATACATACAAACAAACACAAGATACAACTAAAATGGAGAGACAAAGAAACAAGCCCCAAATTAAAGAAAAGGAGGAATCCCTAGAAAAAGAGCTAAAGAAAATCAAGGCATGCAGTTTATCAGGTGTAGAAATCAAAGTAATGGTTACAAGAATGCTCAAAAAACAGTGAGAACTACAAGAAACTTAGTGAGAACTATGTCAGCATGAAAAAGGACATAGAAAACTTGAATAACAACCAGTTGAAAATGAAGGATTTAATATCAGAAATGAATACACTAGAAGGAAATGAAAGTAGGGTAGATGATGCAGAGGATCAAATCACCGAGTTGGAAGACAAGATAGGAAAGAAAACATCCAATCAAAACAACAAAATGAAAAAGACTCAAGAAGAATGAGGATGTTTAATACAGTTTTGGGACAACATGAAATGTAACAATATGAGTGTCATAGGAATACCAGAAAGGAAAGAAAGAGAGCAAGGGCTAGAAAACCTATTTGAAGAAATAATTGCATAAAACTTCCCTAATTTGGTTAGGGGGAGGGTCATTGCAAATTCAGGAAGCACAGAGAGTCCCAGTCAAGATGAAACCAAAGAGACCCACAGCAATATACATTGCAATTAAAATGGCAAAATTTAAAGACAAAGAGAGAATCTTAAAGTTAGCAAGAGAGAAACTTTTAATGTTTTACAAAGGAACTCTGATAAGGCTATCAGCTGTTTCTGAACAGAAACACTACAGAATAGTAGAGATTGGCATGAATTATTCCAAGTAATGAAAAGGAAAGACCTGCAACCAAGAGTACTCTATCTACAAGGTTCTCATTTAAAACAAAGACAAAATGAAGAGCTTCCCAAATTAAAAAAAAAATAAGGTCTAATGGAGTACAGTTCCATGAAACCAGCATTGCAAGTGATGCTAAAGGAACTGAGTTAAGAAGAATAAGAAGTAGCCCTGGCTGGCGTAGCTCAGGAAGGTCCTGTGAAACAAAAGGTTGCTGGTTGGATTCCCAGTCTAGGGCACATGACTGGGTTACAGGCTAGGTCCCAGTAGGGGAGCATGTGAGAGGCAACCGCACATGTTGTTTCTCTCACTCTCTTTTTCCTTCCCTTCCTTTCTCTCTAAAAATAAATAAATAAAATCTTTAAAAAAAGAAGTAGAAAGAAGAAGAACTATACAGTGAGGAACACAAGTACAAAGGGGAAAAATGACAATGAATAAGCATCTATCAATAATAACCTTAACTGTAAATAAATGATCTAATCAGAGATATAGAGTAGATGAATGGGTAAAACATACAACCTGCATATATGCTATCTATAAGAGACCCACCTCAGAACAAAATATTCACACAGGCTAAAAGTTAGGGGATGGATAAAAATTCCATCCCTTCATTTTATGCAAATGGACATGAAAAAAGTTGGGGTAGCAATATTTATATCAGACAAAATATATTTCAAAACAAGGGCCACAACACAAAAAAGACCACTACATAGTATTTATGGGAGTAGTCCAACAAGAGGATATAACTTTTATAAATATGTGTACCTAATACAGGAGCACCTAAATATGAGTATATAAAGAAATTCTTAGAGGACTTTAAGAAAGAGATTGACAGCAATACAGTCATTGTAGGGAATTTTAACATCCACTGTCAACAATAGACAGGTCTTCCAGACAAAAATTCAACAAGAATATAGCAGCATTAAATGACACACTAGATCAAATGGACTTAATTGATATTTCCAGAATATTTCATCCCCAGGAAGCAAACTATACATTCTTCTCAAATGCACATGGCTCATGTTCAAAGATGGGCCACATAGTAGGACACAAAATATTCCTTAACAAATTCAAGAAAATTAAATTCATGTCAAGCATCTTCTTGGATTACAATGGCTTGAAATTAAAACTCAACTGAAAAAAAAACATTCAAATACATGGAGGCTAAATAACATGTTATTACTAATAAATAGGTTAACAATGAAAACAAGGATGAAATAAGAAAGTACCTGGAAGCAAATGAAAATGAACACACAACATCCCAAAACTATGGGACACAGAAAAAACAGTTCTGAGAAGAAAGTTCATTGCATAACAGGTCTACCTAAAGAAGGTGGAGGAATCTTCAATAAACAATCTAACATTATACCTAAAAAACACTAGAAAAAAAAAAAACAACAAACAAAGCCCAGAGGGAATAGAAAGAAGGAAATAATGACCCAGAGACAGAAACAAAAATTCGAAGGATCAATGAATCCAGGAGCTAATTCTTTGAAAAGATAAACAAAATTGACAAAACCTTAACCAGACCCATCAAAAAAATAACAATAAAAGAGAGAGAGGACCCAAATAAATAATATTAAAGATGAAAGAGGAGAAGCAACAAGTGATACAACAGAAATACAAAAGATTGTAAGAAATTACTATGAACAACTATATGCTAAGAAATTGAAAAACTGAGGTGAAATGGATACATTTCTAGCAACATATGGGCTTTCAAAACTGAATCAGGAAGAAGCAGAAAATCTGAATAGACTGATAATAACTAGTGAAACTGAAGCAATAATCAAAAAACTCCTGGCACAAGAAAACCCTGGACCAGATGTCTTCACAAGCAAATGTTACCATCTACTCAAAAAACTAACACCTATCCCTCTCAAACCATTCCAAAAATTTCTAAGAAGAGGGAAGACCCTCAAACTCCTTTTAGGAGAGCAGTATTAACCTAATCCCAAAACCAGGCATACACAACAAAGAAAGGAAACTATAGGCCAATATCTCTAATGAATATAGATGCTAAAATCCTCAACAAAATACTACCAAACCAAATCCAGCAATACATTAAAAAGATCATACACCATGATCAAGTGAGATTTATTCCAGGGGTACAAGGATAGTACAATGTTCACAAATCAAGTATGATACACCACATAATGAAGGACAAAAATCACATGATCATATCAATAGATGTAGAAAAAGCATTTGATAAGGTATAGCATCCATTTATGGTGAAATCACTTAGGAAATTTGGAAGAGAGACAGCATATCTGAAAACAATAAAGGCTATATACAGAAAACCTAATGCCAACATCACACTCAAGCAAAAACTAAAAGCACTTCCCTTAAGATGAGGAAATAGACACAGGTGTTTGCCTTTACCACTCTTAATTTAGTTCTGGAATCCTTAACCTCAGCAATTACACAAGAAGAAGAAATAAAAATCATAAAAATTAGAAAGGGGCAAGTAAAACTATCATTAGTTGCAGATAACATGATAATGTACATAGAAAACCCTATACATTCTACCAAAAAGACTACTCAACCTAATGAATTTGGCAGAATAGTGGGATACAAAGTCAATATTTGGAAATTGATGGCCTCTTGTATATCCACAATGAACTATCAAAATGAGAAACTAAGAATAAAAATCTCATTTACTATACTAATAACAACAAAATACCTAGGAATAAATGTAACCAAAGAAGTAAGAGACCTGTACTTGGGAAACTATGCAACACTGTGGAAAGAAATTAAGGAAGATAGAAATAAATGGAAGCATATACTGTGTTCATGGATTGGAAGAATTAACATCATTAAAATGTCCACATTACCCAAAGCAAGCTATAGATTCAATGCAATTCCTACTAAAATACCAATGGCATATTTCACAGATCTAGAACAAATATTCCAAAACTTCATATTGAACCATAAATGACCCTGAATAGCTTCAACAATCTTGAGAAAGAAGAACAAAGTTGGAGGGATCACAATACCTGATATCCAAATATACTGTAAGGCCACTGTGATCATAACAGCCTGGTACTGGCATAAAAACAGAAACATAGATCAATGCAACAGAATAGACAACCCAGGAAGGAACCCTGGGTCTCTGTCCTCTACCATCCTGACCAGGATGATTTAAGATATTTAATCTCTGGTCCAGGAGGAGAAGTATAAACTGTTTATTCTCAACTGCCCTTTGTTAGGGAAGATGAGGTTTTTCGATTCACAAGCTGGCTGTAAAATGGTCAAGTTGTTTGGCCTTGTCTAAGTATATTGTCTCTGTTTCCCCATTTCACATGCCCAGGAATTTTCCTAGCTTATTATCCTGACTCAGAATGTGCTGCAAATTTCCAGCTGCATTTTTGCCATTTGCTCCTACACAAGGAGCATACTCTTGCCTCTCTAAATTGCCCATAAAGTTTTGGAGATATAGAAAAACCACCTTTAAGTTAGGGTTTCTAATAAGACCACTGGATGGAACTGGAGAGCATTATGTTAAGTGAAGTAAGTCAGGTGGTGAGGGACAAATACCATATGATCTCACCTTTAACTGGAACATAATCAACAAAAGAAAAAAGCAAACAAAATATAACCAAATATATTAAAATGAAGAAAAATCTAACAACAGCCAGAGGGGAGCGGGGAGGGCACAGTAGGGGGAAGGATTTTTGGAAACTACTATAAAGGACACATGGACAAAACCAGGGGGGAGGGTGGAAGCAAGGGAGGGAGGTGGAATTGGCTGGCGTTGGCAGCGGGGAGGGCTGGGGAATAATGCAGACAGCTGTAAGTGAACAACAATAAAGTAATTTTTAAAAAGATCACTGGGATCAAGAAACAGCCATCTGTGTTTTGCTTGGCTTTTATAATTGAAATCAGAAGCAAAAGGAAAAGTCAGTGTAAAAAAACCTTCATTTACTTTACATAATTACTTGCTGTTAGTTAATTCTAGCTGCTTTTCATGGGCTTTTTGTTTCATTCTATTTCCTCCTATAAGCTACAGCAAAAAGCCTTGCCCTACACCTTTAGTGTTCAAAACAACAATAGACTTTGTACAGCTTAATCATTAATTTGATACTGCAGTGTGAACTTCACCTTTCATTTTCTTAATGCATATAACCAGTTATCCTGGTTGACTGAAACAACATACAGGGTGAAACTTCCACTAACCAATTACTGTAGAAACGAAATCTGGACCTCCAGCTCCTCAAGACAATTACCTAGTAAGTCATTTATCAGCTGTCTTTAAAGTGCTGACATTTTGTATAAAACTAAATTTAACAGTCAAAAATTAGAGAATGAGAAATGGAAAATTCTACTATGGATATTTTGCCTTAAAAAGGGAATTATTTGGGTATTATTGGGTCTTGATTTCCTGTCATAAATGGACAGGATTATATTTCATATATAAAATTGTGCTGAGGTAATCTGCTCTACTAATTCTAAGTTTATAAAACTAAATATACTTTTAAAAGTTTTTAGTCATTTATCTTCTCAACATTTTTATTTAGTTTAAAAGAATATTCTTGTAAAAACCACTGCTAGAATGAGTTCTTAAAAATTCCACTTTTGTGGAAACATAAAAGTCAGATCTTGCCCAAAATGATTTTCACAAGCCTGCTTTTGAGTATGTCTCAAGATTCTCAAAAAAAAAAAAAGTATTGTACTGGTGCTAGAAAATACGTTCTCCATTAATCAATGCTTTATCTCTTATTTCAAAAATATTTTAACTGTATGGAGTATTTTTCACTTCAATATGTATTCAATCTTTTTAATCATTAAATCAGAGAACCACTATAGTGATATATTCTTCAAATTTCTAAAAATTAATTACTGCCTCAAGGGTTTTGAAACAAGATTTGAGTTAGTTTATTTTTGTACAAGCATTCTCCTATTGTCACTTTACTGAATAATCATTTTTGTGTGGGCTTGTTTATATCCCTTTATCTTCTCCCTTGGGTTCATTGTCAAAGGTATATTCTAAGAACAACACTTCAGTACAGAAAGCCCTGGTAAATGAAGAATCATGTAATATAATTAATTATGTTGTTGTAGTATTGAAAACACTTAACATTTTAACAACGGACAATATGTTTTAATTCAAATATTTATTTTCAAATGTATTTTATTGATTATGCTATTACAGTTGTCCCATTTGTTTTCTCCCCTTTATCTCTCTCTACCCTGCATCCCCCTTTCACCATTGTTTCCCCCCTTAGTTCATGTTCATGAGTTGTACCTGTAAATTCTTTCTTTCTCAATATATATTATTTTGTTTTATTTATCTTTTAAAGATGCCACAATGTCATAGAAATGTTTTATTTCAGGGTTTGTCATAGTATATAAATAACATTTTGGCATCTGATATTGGTATTAAATAGTACCAATATAACATGTATACTTTGAACATTAATAAATTTTGAAGAAAATGTCACATATAAAAGTTGTGTGTGTGTGTACCATAGCATTTGTTTTTTTGAATTTCTTAAGCATATTTTATTTCTATTACGTGCTCTTCATGCTATTACAGTTTTGTCATTCTCTTTTCTCCCCTTAATCTTCCTCCGCCCCGCACCCCCATTCCCTCTAATATTACCCCCCTTATCTCATGTCTCTACATCGTACATATAAGTTCTTTGGCTTCCCCATTTTCTATACTGTTCTTAACCTCCTCCCTGCCTATTTTGTATCTACCAATTATGCTTTTTATTTCCTGTCATTTTTCCCCATTCTCCCACTTCTCCATCCATGCTGAGACCCCTCCATGTGATCTCCATTTTTATGATTCTGTTCCTGTTCTAGTTGCTTCCTTACTTTGTTTCTGTTTTTGGTTTTTAGGTTCAGTTGTTGAGAATTGTGAGTTTGTTGTCATTTTATTGTTCATTGTTTTGATCATCTTTTTCTTCAATAAGTACCTTCAACATTTCATATAATAAGGGCTTGGTGATGATGAACTCCTTTAACTTGACCTTATTTAGGAAGCACTTTATCTGTCCTCACATTCTAAATGATAGCTTTGCTGGGTAGAGTAATCTTGGTTGTGGGTCCTTGCTCTTCATGACTTTGAATACATCTTTCTAGTCCCTTCTTGCCTGCAAGGCTTCTTTTGACAAATCAGCTGGCAGTCTTCTGGGAACTCCTTTGTAGGTAACTGTCTCTTTTTGTCTTGCTGCTTTTAAGATTCTCTCCTTATCTTTCATCTTGGGTAATTTAATTATGATATGTCTTGGCATGTTCCCCCTTGGGTCCAACTTCTTTGGGACTCTTTGAGTGTCCTGGACTTGTATGTCTAGTTCCTTCACCAGATTGGGGAAGTTTACCTTCATTAATTTTTCAAATAAGTTTTCAATTTCTTGGTCTTTTCCTTTTCCCAACTACAATTTGGATGTTGGAACATTTAAATTTGTCCCAGAAATTCCGAAGCCTTTCCTCCTCTTTTTGAATTCTTGTTTCTTCATACTGTTCTGGTCTAATGTCCATTTCTTCTTTTGTCCCAAATCATTGATTTGAGTCCTGGCTTCCTTCCCTTCACTGTTGGTTCCCTGTATATTTTTCTTTATTTCACTTTTCATAGCCTTCACTTCTTCCTCTATTTTGCATCTGTACTCAATCATTTCTGTGAGCATCCTGATTACAGTGTTTTGAACTCTGCATCTAATAAGTTGGCTATCTCATCATTGCTTAGTTCTTTTTATAGAGTTTCAATCTGTCCTTTCATTTGGGCCATATTACTTCATCTCCTTGTACCTGTTATGTTGTAAGGGGCAAAGACTTAGGTATTTGCCAGGGTGGTGCCACCCATTTTGCTGCATTGTGGCCCAGTCTGTATGAATTTTTCTTCTTTAACACCTTGGTTACCAGACTTCCACACAGTTTAATTTTCTGGTAGTTCTTTTTGTTTTTTGTTTTTTAATTTGTTGTTGCCCTTCTATTAGTTGTATAAGGAAGAAAAGCATGTCAATTTGTGCCTCCTTCTTGGCCAGAAGTCTCTAAATTCAGGTATTTTTTAAATGGACATTTTTAAATAAATGATTTTATTCCTATCTATTATTGCAGACATTTCCAAAACATAACATCTAAGTTCACCTTAGAAGTAGCTTACATAAAGCAGTGACATACACAGCACAAAATAGTTGAGGGTGGTGGTGGAAAGTTTTAATAATTAAAATGTGCACATGAAAAAAGGATAGAGTAAAAGTCCCTACTTACTTCTACTTAAGACATCATGTGATGATATTTTACAATGTCCTGTGGGTCAATGTATGCATGTGTATATGTCCATATAACATACACATATACAATACATTCTCTTTCCCACACATATACATGCACAGGTAGTATTTGCAATTCATTTTAGGGTAATTCTAATATGCTAGTCAATATATTTTTTTGAACCATGTTTGGATCTGATTTCTTGACAAAATAGAGCAGAGTACAGGAAATAAAAATAGCAATATATAGTTGAAGCCTTATACTGTCATCTGATATCTAAGTTTCCAGAAAAACTAAAAGTTCTTATGTGTTTAAAAACAAGTTCATTTTGGGTCACACGACTCATTTAGTACTTCGTGATGGTCCACAGAACTTAGAGGGCAGTTTCAACACCATTTTGGTTCTTTGAATTCCCTGGAACATTAACAAATTTACACCTCTGTTCATCACACCTAAGAGCAATATCCTCTTGTATTCTGAAATTTGATACAAATAGCTATAAAACAGTCCTTGAAACTCATTTCAAAAGCTGATAGTTTTCTCAAGTTAGCAGAAATTAGCAATGCTTTTAGTTTACATAAATACCATTATTTCTCAAAAACACTGCATTTTGTCTCCTATCCTCAGAAGAAACTCATGATGTAAAAGTTACTGTAGTCACAGAAGTTAAAGATGAGCAAGGAAAGAGGAAACATATTTTAAAAGAGAATAATGAGATAACTCTATTAATAAAAGTACTCATATTGATTTAAAATCAAAACTACATAAATAAACATGGTATATATATGTCTATACACACATTATAATTTTTAAAAAGTTTAAATTGAGAAACAGATAACAGATACTGGCAAAAAAGTAACAATACTATTAACTCATAAGATAAAATCAAAAGGGTTAAGTGGTAGAAAGGTGAATCTCTGATAGTAAATATGTTGCATAATAAATACAAAACAGTCAAAAGTTTATGCTTTGAATAGCATACTTTCAAAGTAAAAGAGAAAAACTCATATAAAAAATTTTTATAAAACTCATGTAAAAAATTTTTGGAGAAATTAGTAGAAACATAGAGAGGAAAATCTTACACAATAAAAATCTATTCAACAGATTAAATTTTAAAAGATTTTAAAATATATTGATATTGACAAACCCACAGCCAGTATCTTATTTGATGGGCAAAAACTAAAAGGATTTCCCTTACGAATACGAACAAGACACTGATGTTTGCTTTCACCACTCTTATTCAACATATTACTGAAGATGTAGCCACAACAAACAGATATGAAGAAATAAAAGGTATCCCAGTTGGAAAGGAGGAAGTAAAACTCATTATTTTCATATGACAAGATAATGTATATAGAGAACCCTAAAGGTTCCACCAAAAAATGGGTGGAGCTGATAAACGAATTCAGTAAAGTAGCTGTATACAAAATAAATACCTAGAAATCAGTTGCATTTTTATACTCCAATAATGAACTATCATAAAGGGAAACTTAGAAAATAATCCCATTCACAATGCATAAAAAAACAACAATTTTGGGATAAATTTAATGGAGAAAGCAAAAGAGATATACTCATAAAATTATAAGACACTGAAGAAGGAAACTGAAGAAAATACAAGTAAATGAAAGCACATCCTATGTACATGGAGAGGAAGAATTAACATCATCAAATTGTCCATATTATGCAAAGCAATCTATAGATTCAATGCTATTACTATCCAGATACCAATTTTGTATTTCACAGAACTAGAATACATGTGCCAAAAATCTATATGAAACCACAAAAGACCTCAAATAACAACAGCAATCTTAATAAGAACAAAGTTGGAGGAATCCTGCTACCTGATATCAAATTATATACTATAAGGCCATACTAATCAAAACAGCATGGTACGGGAATAAAAACAGATATATAGATCAATGAGACAAAATAGAGAGCCTAGAAATAAACTCATGCCTTTTTGGTCAATTATTATTTGACAAAGGAGGCAGGAACTTATAATGGGGTAAAG